CTGATATTATTTTTCATACATAATTTCTGAGTTTCAATAAAAGATTAATACGAAAGAAATAGACGTCTTTCATTTTATTTCACAAATGTTCAAGATACAAAAAGTCAGTTACTTATCGGCCACCCTTTCTTTTTACTGTATAATCATGACAAAATATGGCAATGTTTTCTTGTAAAAAGCAAATACACTTACTATTAACGACATAATCTACCTGAAAGAGCACTGTAAAGCTGCTTACCAGAGCTTTCCAGCATTGGAATATAAAGATACTATCGTGAAAGTGATGAAGCTTATAAAAAAGGAAAACTAAGCATACCCTTTTACCGTTTACCTTGGGATTATTGTAGAATCTATTTCACCACAAAATATGCATAAAAGGTGGACGACCGCGTGATATTTTGACCTTCAGGCTAGAATTGTAACTGACGCAACAAATACTGAATTTTCCGTGCTTCTTGCACTGCAACTGTATTCGCCCGATATTTTACGAGCAACATTATTGTAATGTACCTTACACTGTGTTAGGAGTAACATAATACATAGTTTTTAATACGCGATATATTTGTATGTCGCATTTACACATTGGAGCCAACATGGTATGGTATCGCCGGCTCCACACGTTGGCCCCAACGTTGGTCGGTTAAGTTGGTGAAGCGTCCACACGTTGGTTATTATACTAGTTCCTTTCTGTCAGAGCCAATGTGAAGATGTCCGACACCGAAACCGAAATTGCTCTAAGCGCTTTTACAGTACTGATTAGTGCGTATAATTTATATTTGTTATTGAAAAAAAGAAAAAGCCATGTCAAAGGAGATGGTGGATGACAACGCATCATAAAACTCGGTACCAGTAAGTACAGACCATACACTCCATTCTAGCAGCTTTTTACAAGGCAATTTAATATTAAATTATCTAATAATGTGTATACAGTGTGTCCAAGATAAGAATGTCTATCATGAGGATCTTGGAAAACAAAAGTGATACGAAGATAGTTTAATTTCAAGCCTAACAATATGCCGTTTAGAAAGTTAAAATTCTGAGTTGTTCCGGAGGTATGCCTAAAAAACCGAAATTTGCCGATTTCGTTTTTATTTTTTTCTGACGTTATTTAAAGAGATATGGAAAAACAAAAGACACTTTCTTATGGCTACTTTTTAAGCTCTACAAAACAGCGTTGAGAGATTTTCCGCACGACGTTTCGTTTTGGAGAAACCATCATCAACTTTATTTTTGAAATAGCGCGTAAAAAAGTATGCCCTGTATTAAATAGCATTTTTTAGGCATACCTCCAGAACAACTCGGAATTTTAAAGCTTTCTAAACGGCATATTGTTAGGCTTGAAATTTAACCATCTTCGTATCAGTTTTGTTTTTCAACATCCTCATGATAGACATCCTTATCTTGGACACACTGTATACACATTATTAGATAATTTAATATTAAATTGCCTTGTAAAAAGCTGCTAGAATGGAGTGTATGGTCTGTACTTACTGGTACCGAGTTTTATGATGCGTTGTCATCCACCATCTCCTTTGACGTGGCTTTTTCTTTTTTTCAATAACAAATATAAATTATACGCACTCATCAGTACTGTAAAAGCGCTTAGAGCAATTTCGGTTTCTTTTTTAATTCCTCAATAGAATAAATCATTTTCATATTCTGTTGAATATTGCGCCATGCATTGGCTACTAAATTTCTATTTTTATGGTCCTTGCGAGAGGCGTTCCATATTATTGGATGCGGCTGGTATAACTCTAAAAATTCTACAACTTTTTCGTTTGTCCACGCGGGTAGCGATGTAGTTGGTGACATATCTCCACATACGCACTCGACGCGTGTTACAACAAGACTGAGCCAGTGAGCCAATATGTGGACGGATTGCCAACGTTTGATAAAACCGACAATCGACAGCCAACTAACAACGGTCGCTCCAACGTTGGGGCCAACGCTATTTTCTAGATACACACGTTGGGCAGGTGGCGTTGGGGCCAACGTTGGGGCCAACGTGTGGTGCCGGCGTATGCTATGATTCCGCGCCAACGTTGGCTAACCAGGCCAATGCGTATTGGTTTAGCGTTTACATATTGGTGTTGGCTTACGTTGGCGTAATATGTGAACGCATTACAATATCTGCAATGAACTTCAATAAAGCACTAAGAATCTTTATCATGAAATTATCGTCACTTTTCCAGTGCACATAGTTACAACGATTTTTAAACCATATTTTTATCATATCTTTACTAACCAAATGCTAGTTTTTTACCATGCACTGGGAATACCAAATACAAACCATCCAAACCTCCCAAGAACTGATAAACGTCAAATATGTCAGTCACAATGTTATTAGATGCATGTATCAATATTTTTTTACAGAAATGGTCCCTTGTGGCTTCTTTGTCAAGCATATAGTCCACCAAAGGCACATGGCTGAATTTTCAAAGCTAGGCTAAATAGCAGGGAAGATGAAAAAATGAGAATGGATGCGTTACTTTAGTCTCCCTAAGATGTACATGTCAAATTAACCTACCAATCCTGATCAAAGGTTACACGAAAATCCTTGTACAGTGAGAGTTAAATACGCAGTCATGGAATCACAAGGACATTTATAACTTCTTGGCATTACGATAAAAACTTATTTTGTGAATGGTTGAAGACAAACTGGCAAACTTCTATTTGCTTTAAATAACCTTGGCCTCTTGTCATTTTGACAATAAATAGTACGCAGCTTTTGCGATACTCCTATAACATACGTCTGGAAATGGTCTATAGAGAGCACTCGAGGCAACAGCTCAGCAATGTAACATTGCAGTGATCGCTCAAAGTCGCCCGAAGTTTCAATAATCTATGACGCCTAAGTACACCCTCATTCGCCATTTCTTAAAAGCGCGCCGTCTCATTGTATCAAACATGGTGAATGTGCATAATTTATGTAAGTACATTATGTGTACTCTTTCACAATGATTTTGAATGATTGATTATGTACTCCTTCACCATGCTTTTGAATGGATGGTACCAGAACTAAATTTACATAAATGATAGTCCACGTACATGGTTGTGTTTGAAGAATATTTATTTATAATTTAATAATTTATGAGTAGCTTTTTTCTAATAATAATTGTACTGACTATTTCTACAAAAATAATAATAAATATTCCAAGATTTGATTTTTAAGTGACATCCGGCACCCACCCTTTTATACGCAGTTAATATATCGTTTACCAAGAGTTCCAAGTGTTTAGCTCTGTGACTACCCAAAAAATCTCTCTCAGCTTTTAACGATTTCCATGCTCACAGTTCTTTGACAATTAATTTTTGACCGAAGGTTCGGTTATTTAGTAATAGGCGAACTTATGAATAGAAAACATTCTTTCGTTCAATTTCACTGACTCAGTTTTGTAGAAGCAGACTTTAAATATGATAGCTCTTCGCCATTTTTATCAATTATCTTCACAAAATTATTTAACAAACGGAATTTTATATCTAAGGGAGGTACAATAACATCTTCGTGATCAATAAAAGACCAATATTCTACATTTGACTTCCAACAGGTAAAGTCCGTTAGTTTTGGCCAATCTGTAATTGAGGTCAGTACAGACCTTCCATTTACTCATTATTACCTTAATAATTCATCTTTAAAATCATAAGATTATACCACAAACAGTCAATCATACAGACTTTATCGTTAAACCAGAGTTCCCCAAACTTTTTTGTGTCGTAGACCCCTTGCCATGTTTTTCCGTGTTGGGTAGACCCCCTACTTACCTGATATTGATTTCCTGTAAAATTCTAACTGTAGTGAAGTTTAGTGTTAAAAACTTAAAGTAAAAACACATGTTAATTTATAGATTTATTAATTGAATTTAAATTAAAACTACTCAAAATAATATTTTGTATCTTTTATGTAAAATATACGTAACATTAAATAAACAGGTGTCTGACCAATAAGTGCCCGCATTGGGAATAAGTGCCCGAATTGAAAAAAAATAAGAGGGATAAAATAAAAAAAAAGTGAAAAATAATAAAAAAAATTGTTTTACTTAAAATAGTACAATAAGCGAGTTCGTTTATTAATTATAACATAAACGTATGTTCTACAATAATTTCACTGTTAGTTTGATTGAATTCCGCTTCTTATACGTTTAAGTTATCTAAAAATAGGCAAAAAATTAACGAATTTTAGTGTGTACGTATCCTTGAATTTTCAGAATAATTAATAAAAAATATTTTCTATAAAGGGGGGTTCTTTAAAAAAATCAATGCGGGCACTTATTCCCAATACGGGCATTTATTGATCAGACACCAATCAACATAAAATAAACTATAAATAAAATAACATAAGCAATAAGTCAATATTTTTAGTGAGAAGGATGAACCTGATGCTTTAATAATAAATTATCAACATTTGGCGTCAATTTTGTAAGGGTTAATTTTAAATCTCCTCGGCTAATGATGTCCAGTCTGTTTTTTTTCGTTAGGAGATTGGTAACAGCGCTGAACCCCCTTTCCACTAGGTATTACGATGGAAAGGAAACTAAAAATTTCCTCGCTATATTCCATAATACGGGATAAGTAACGGGTATGTTGTTTTGCAGCCAGAATTGCTTTTATCCGTTTTTAAACTGAACCTTAAGTTCTTCGTTTGTACTTAGTTCAGTCAGTTCCTCTTGTATTATGACATTCGTTTCTTCTATGTCACCATATGGATTAATTATCCACGGTGGTATTACCATAGTCAAAATATCCTCGAACCTAGATTCAAAATCAGAATATAGGGCATTTAAATGTTGAACGTAAGTTGAAAAGTCGTAAATTTTCTTTTAAAATTTTATCTTCAGTATCCAGATATTCCAAAATAGTCTCAAAAAGTGCAAAAAATCTTGTCAAACATAAGCCCTTCGACAGCCAGCGTACTTCAGTGTGAAGGAGTAATTGATGAAAGTGTTCGTCATTTTCTTCACACAACTGCGTTGCTTCGGTTTACTGCATCAATGACTAAATGAAGTGATTCATGCAATCTAACACTCAAATTTTTAGCAACTAAGTGTTGTCGATGGATGACGCAATGTATTGCTAACACCCCTGACACATTTTGTTTTAAATAGCTTATAAATCCACGATAACGTCTAACCATGGCAGGTGCTCCATGTGTAGCTACTGTTATTATATTTCATAAAGGAATTGCTTTTTCAATGAAGTATTCCTTCAAAACCTGAAATATTGATTCAGCTTTAGTGTCGCTTATCAAAGTTCTTGCGAACAGCAGTTCTTCGTAGATTTCTTGATTCATAATAAAATCAACATATGCCAATAATAATGCTGCATTATCAGGTAAAGTTGACTCGTCCAGTTGTATAGAGAAATGGGTCGTTTGCAAATAATTACATAAGAAGCTTTCAATATCAGAACTCATTTCATCAATACATCTTTCAACAGTATTGTTGCTTAAGGGAATTCTTTTAATGATATCAGATGCAGGTTTGTGTAAAACAGTTTTTAAAACCTCTTCAACGGCTGGCAAAATTAACTTATCTCCGATAGTATGCGGTTTTCCGGATTTTGTTATAAGTAACGAGATATTGTAAGATGCCCGCAAACCATTATCATTTCTTTGTGACGTCGAAGCGAACATCCTGTCCAGTGTAGGTCTCTTCTGAAATTTATCTTTGAGTGTTTGAAAGTATTTCAAATGTTTCTCTGTTTTATCAGGGTGGCATCTTCTCAGATGATCTTGCAGTTTAGATGGTTTCATACCGTCATTGCCCAAAACTTTGTAGCATAAAAGGCACATAGGCGATTGTTTGTCCGGCAATGATGGAATGAAGCCAAATTTCAAATAATCAAGACTATACTGTCTACATTTCTTTTTAGATTCGGACATGGCATCAGTCATCTGTGGGCAAAATTAAATTATTTAAATAAGACAGAAAATCCAGCAGCTGTATATTAAAAATATTTTTTGATTTTTCCGAAAACATTCCATAATTCGAACATCTTCTTGCAACAATTAGCTCGAATTACGGAGATTGCACTGTAATTATATTACCGATTGCTAAAACTTTCAACAAGAAACTATTGAGGAGTACTCGTGTAATTTTGATTGAATATTTAACTACTAATAACTAAAATCATGATTGGCGTAATTTATCTATCTTTGCTAACTACGAGTACAAAACTAAAATTTAATAAAAAATAATGTACTTACTTTTCTGCAGCACTCTCAAACAAAATAACACTGACTCACTATAATTTGTGTGATATACTATCTGTTTATATTTTTTAAAATATTTTCTTAGCACTTTCCTTTTCAAGATTCAGGAAACGAATAAACGTATTTGTCCCACATTCGTATTTGTAGAGTGACGAATTGAACAAGTCAGTGCAAGGTAGCGAAGCTCTGAAACTGCGACTCTCAGGTTTTTACAAGTTCAAAATGTATTGCGACCACAAAGCGAATACCAACATCCTACAACTTACACAATTTTATAAACATATATAATAAATTTTTTACTTCATAGGTACTTTTATAAATAATGTATTTGTTTTGATATTATAAGATAGTATGATGTAAGTAAATAGGTACTATCAGTGTATGTGTTGAGATCCACTATCGTGGACCCCCATATTCATTTCATGGACCCCCAAATTTTTTTTCGCTGACGTAGACCCCTTGCAGGTTGTCATAGACCCCTGGGTCGATATAGACCACTTTGGGAATCAATGCGTTAATCGAACCAATTTCCACTAAAATGGACATAAGAGGATCGATTGAAAAAAACATCAGTGAATAGCTCAAAAACAAGTCATTTTAAAAACAAAAGATATCCACTGCCTACGTTCTGCAACTAAGAGAAAACCATAATAGCAATTAGCTTTTGGGTAAACATACCGTGTCACGCAACGATAACACAACCGACCCTCTTATCTACAAACGAGAGTATACTTTCCAGAACGTTTTTGGTGCGTCCAATCTTAATACGTGGTCCAAATCTCTCCATTGGATCTAGTTTCCGAGATATCCCAACCTAAAGGTGCAAAACAGCGGTTATCGCCAATACTCGTACAGTAATGGCGATTTCTTTTTTTAAAAAACCATAGACATCATCAAAAACTAAAAGCCTTGCTCTTTCAAATGCCGCTGAGTTTACATAAATATATTTTTTTTTTTTCGGTGTAAATTGGGCAGCGCGAATAAAGGGCTTGTGGTTTAGGTAAGTTTTCGATATTGCAAGCTAGATAGGTTTAGCTACCATCAGAAGAAATTATTTTTTCGTTTTTTTTTTCAATGTGTAATTGAAAGTTATAACGTTAAAACCAGCTTTGATAGGGTAGGGTTGGTTGTGGACTTATGGACTGGGTGAGCTTTAGATATTTTATGGATTTAGTGTTGATGATTGATCTGTTTTTCAGTTGGCAGATCTTACTTCATAAAAATACATTACCTTGTTAATGAATTTTTGGTGTATGCACACGCAATCATAACGTGTATAGAATCAGATATAGTGAAAATCCAACAAATGAATCCATGCCAATGCCATATCTCAGTCTAAAGGAGAAGATATTTAAGCAAACACAACGGCATTTGAAAGAGAAAGGTGCTTTCCAGGATTTTAAAAAAAAAATCATCATGCTAAATAGCTTCAAGTATAGTCAAAAATCAATATTTTAGCAACCTTAGGTTAGGATATATCGGAAACTATAGCAAATTTAGAAATTTGGACCATGGGCTTAAATTTAGCGTATCTAAAACCTTCTTGTTTCTGGGTAAAAAATCTTGCCGGTCTGTGCGACTATCAGACTAGTGATGAGTCATTTTGTTCCAGATCCTTCGCGTGAGCGAAAAAGACTTCTTTGAGCAGATGGGAGTATTTTTCATCTCGTTCATCAGCCAATACGGATACGACCGCGTGCTGAGCGTACTGGGCAGGCACATGCGAGACTTCCTCAATGGCCTAGACAACCTGCACGAGTACCTGAAGTTCTCGTACCCACGCATGAGAGCACCTTCCTTCATCTGTGAAAATGAAACTAAACAAGGGCTAACGTTGCACTACAGGAGCAAACGGCGGGGGTTTGTTTATTATACCATGGGGCAGATCAAGGAGGTGAGTATGCTTATTGGCATTCCAGTAGCGATACCTTAATAAGAGGCGTACAATCACGAACGGGCGCTGGAGAAGTGATTTATCACTAGCATATATATTCAATGATATATGTGTCACAGAAAATTTTTATTAGAATCAACCGCTGGCATAAAAAATTGAAATCTGTACGCAAGTGTCGGATGAGGTAAGCATTTTGACAGCAAAATTATACAGTGTTTACACAGAATACTTACTGCAAAAAGCATTAGAATGACAGACAAATAGAATCAACAATATCAACAGTAAGTCACTCGGAATTCTGCTTGATCGTAGTCACGAAGTAACGGATGAACTGAAAGGAAAGCCAAATTCCTGGTCTGCAGCGATGACCCACATCCAGATGCAAAACTCTAATTAAACGAAGTACAGATTGAACGAGTCCACAAAATCACATATTTTGAGAGTGGTATAACCGACCTACTAGATGTAATCAGAACGCGTTTTGTAGTGACGGATCGAATGAATATTGACGATTTCTTTTAAATATCTCTCAAACTAATTCTCGCACTAAATCTAGAATTACTTCATGTCTTATCTACGTTACAAAAACCTCTATTTTGTATTCTATCCCGGGCGTAAAATTTGCAGCTAGGTAGCAAATTCAGATAATTCAAATGAAGGACTTGCACTTTGCTCGAATCATGGATCAAATCTAATAGAGTGTGTACATTGATATGACAGGATTACTAAACAAAATAGTACAATACAAAAACTAGCCTTACATGCAAAGGAACACGTATCTGCTGGAAATTATTTCAATTGATTTTCGAAACTACTTATGTTGGGGCACTTTGGATATCTTCTTCTAAATTATTGAAAACTTCACTGCCCATATAACTGAAAGATCTCTAATATTGGGGGAGGTATCAGCAAAACTTTTAATGGTGCTTGATAATTGTGTTGCTCTCTATTATTGAAGAGGTTTTACTTATTTTTATAAGCAAAAGGTTCAGGCCAATTACGATTTGCGATGATTCTGATAACATAAATTTGAAAAAGAAAAACTCTAACGACAGATACGCTGCATCCCCATCTTAAAATAGCATAGCGCAAGTGACAGTTGAAGCTTGAATGGTATAGAATAAGTAAAAGTTGCTTGCCACAATGATTTGATAAGAGGTTTACACCGCAAGCACTTTTAAGTAATTTAATACACATGTGACTCACCCTGTGGCTCCCAGGTTAAATGACAATCTATGGTAATACCCAGCAACTTAACGGAAAGAGGTGTTTCAATTGTTGAAACGTTGCTATGTAAAATACTGAAATCTCTTAGTGAGAATTTCATCACTTGGGTCTTACTTGTATTTAGTAGACCTTTATTTACTGACCATTTTACAGCAACTGTCAATATTATGCAAGAGTTCAGCGTTACTAGAGGTAGCCAGTAATATGTTAATATCATCGGCATATGATATAATTTTGCAGTTAGAAAATGCATTCGACAGCTATTCAGATCATTCGCATACTTAAAACGTTCTTAGAGCTCAGGGGAACACCTGCCTCCATAACAAAAAAACAAACATCGTATTCTGAAGCTGGTGTCATATATAGAGAAATAGAGTACTTGGACACATATAATATAATATAGGAATTAGGGGCCCATCTTACACAATTAGGACAATTTTTATCTGGCTTGAAGGATATTCTAGAAGAAATCGATTATATTCATTAGATACGTTACTTCAAACACAGCTTCTGATTTTTCTCATTTCCAGGCCATTCAGTAATCAGATATGTATTGTTTTCTGTTTTGATTAACAACTTTACTTGCTAGTTTCTCAAAACTGGGTGAATCATTTGTAGTTCTAAATACGTCGGTACATTTGTTCTATCAGTATTCAAATTATCACTGTATTAGCCATTTTTATCATCTCGACCAATTTCAGGTGGGAGGGTGGAAGCTTCCTTTGACCGTCCTCCCCGTCGCCAAAATCGCGATTGACTGGGTCGAGATGGAGATAATTCATTGGGACAACCTCGGGTTAAGTTTAAGAGGATACACGAAAGCGCGGCATATTCCTCCACTTTACAGATTAATAATCCAAATAGCTCATATCTTTGCAGAGGAGCCATTATCCGGGTAGTTCCGCAAATTTTGATCAAAATAAAATTCAGTTTGATATATACTCGTATTATGGGCAAGCCGCTGGCAGGATGACTTGAAAATGCTAAATGCGCACGCCCAGAAAATAGAAATGCCATGCCTGGTAATATTCTGAGCCTATATACGGGTAAAATAATTGCAGCTTTAAGATATTATTTGTAGTGCTTCGAATACAGTGAATGAGTAAAAAAATATTAGGAAATACCTTGTTCGTGAAAATATCCAGCAAACTTTGAATTCAGGCGAACAATGGCTCCTTTTCTTAGTTCTCTTATCTTGCACAGTTTATACTTTGGAAATACACCAGGGAACAAGGTCTTATCTGCGTCTAAATGGCCTATTGAATTTATGAATCGTTTGGGATTTCATTAGAACGATCCCCTTTTAGGGCGAGTGTTTTCACGTTGTTTTACGCGTTTTAATCGAATTGAATCTGAACTAGGTCACTTAGCTCTAAGGGTTGTCATGTGGCCGGAATAGCCATGAGTTTTGAATTTGGTCATGCGATCAGCCAATTTATATTTGGCCTTCGAAATTCTGGGTATCATTTGTATCGTCATTATACGTTTTTTATAGCTATAAAGGCCGAACCTACATGTGACGACTAGGTATAACGAAGCTGAAAGCATGTTGTTGGGATAATGTTTTAACTTTTTACGGTTAGTGAGTTATTGTCCTAACAAGTGCAAATACTTAGTTCTGGGTCCTTCGGCCAGCTGCATAAGGAAAAGACACTTTCCCCAAGAGTTATGAACATTTCTTCTACCAGCGCGTAATAAGAAAATCAATGTACTGTAACAATTGAAATCACATACTTTAATAACAAAAAAACGTAAACATAATTAAATTTTATTATTGTTTCTGTTAGTAACAAAAGAGCAGTTGCTGTCAATTTGAAGATTTATGACAACAAAATCCTGGGTAGGGTGGTAATTCACTCGATGTTGCGTGCTTCTGCATCGTCATCATACCCTTTCTGCTGTAGTATATATTTTTCCAATGGATCCGTCTCAGAAACGTGTAAAGAAATAACTATTTTGATTTGAATTGTGTTATCTTGTCAGGTTGACTTTGACAAGTGTGTTTGTTCAGGCGGTCGTTAGGGAAACATGCTGTTAGCTTACCTGCTACTTACCTGAATTGTGACACTTTCCAAACTGAAATGCGGGCGGAAAAGTGAGCACGCTGGTAGAAAAACCATTGATTTACACAGTCCACCGCATCGCCGCAAACTACACTGCCACGAAAAGTTAACCGGACAAACAAAATTTTGTTCAAATTAAATTTTAAGTAACTTTTCAACCTTTGCATCAATTTCGTTAATTTTCTCGTCAAGTTGTAGGTAACTTCATTGTCATCAGTATCGATGCAAAAAAATTGAAAATGTTTCTTGTTATACAGGGTGTAACTAGAAGGCGCATTTTACCCTAAACTTCTGAACAGCCTCTTGCAACATTGGATTACTGAATAATGTGTCTTCGTAAGAGAATTTTAACCCTCAACTTTTCTCAACAGTTCTTTTTTGATTCATGTCAATATCTCAATTATTCAAGACTATATGCTGTTTTGAAAAAAATCATGCGAATCATAGCCATAAACAAGGAATTGAACCGTATTCATAAAAGAGAAGCATATCTTCGGAAGCATAAGGTAAAAGTATAAGGTCTTGCTTCGGAGGAAAAGGTAGAAGTATAAGCATATCCTTGTTTTGATATTCATAATGATTACCTTATACTCGCGAGGAAATCCTCCAAGAAGAAGTAAAAGGTTGACTGGTATTTGTATCTTGAGCGAAATGTCCTGACTTGTTCCAGCTTGTAGCTGACGTGGGAGTTCGTTCACTCAGCATCACTGACGGTCGTACTCCAGAGCTTACACAGACCGTTCCGTATTTTTTGCCATTGCTCCCATTATTTTGCAAAAGTCACAAGTTCCAAAAATAAAAACATGAAAGGACGATGCCTTGAAGAAGATGTTAAAAAAATACGAATCAACATTCGGTAAACCATTAGATACTAAAGGCTTATTAAAAAAAATCAACAACATGAAATCAAGATTGAAGAAAAACACAGATCTAAAAAAATCTGGTAATAAAGCAATTAAATTGTTAGATTGGGAAAGAAAGTTGCTGAAAGCTATGGAAGGTGACTGAAATCCTATAATTGGGAAACTTTGAGGTGCTATTCAGGTTGGTAGTGTTCAAGAAGAAGGAAGTGAACTATATACCGAGCGCAGTATTACAGCGCCAGCAATTCAGAAGACATTGCTACCAAAAAGAAAATTAGCGAAGGGTTAACTAGAAAAGAACTGCAACATCTAGTGCTATTACAGCAGTACCAAACAAGTATTTTACAACAAGAGTATTATAAAATGAAATTAGAAATGGTGCAGCGTGAGAAGCCACCTGTAACTTATGATGTTCAGGAAAATAAAACTTATTATTACTTATAAATACACTTCAACCAGCAAAACTATTTATTATAATACTCAAGTTTCTTCTTATTTGTTGACCTGGTTGGCGGAGAGGAAGTTCGTCATTCTCATGATTTCCTTCATCTTCATCTGGGTCTTGTTCAACTAACTCAAAGTCAAGATCGCCCAAGTTCTTCGCAAAATTATGGAGTACAATACTAGCAATAATTATTTTCGGCACATTTCTCAACTTTACGCGGCAAACATACTGTATGATAGGAAACCGGCGTTACAGTAGGCTGAAACAGCGTTCAGTTATAACTCTTTTTTGTTTTAGAAGCTCATTCTTATTTATTTCTGCGCCTGGAGTAGGATTTCTGAAGGCATGGCTCAATACCATAACCGTTATCGCCAAGTAGTACAGCATTTGCCACATTTATTA